GCAGAACGCGTCGACAGCGGCTCCGGTGCCTGCCGCCGCACGGGCCGCTAGCTGCGACCGTCTGCTGTCATGGTCGAGTCCGCCATGACAGTCGTTTCGGAGCATCTGCCGGCAAATTTAAGTGCACTGGGGCTTACGCTGCTGCTGTGCTATGCTGCGCGATGTTCGCGAGATTTTTGCATTCCGGCCGTCAAGATACGGCGTGCTCGCGCGATGCATGGCGGTCCGGGGCGCGGCTCGGGCGCGAGCGCTATTGGCGCCTCTCACACGTCTAGTGCGTGGCGCATGGCACCGCGTGCGTCGCCCGCCGCCCGGAGCAGGCGAGCGTGGCTGACGGCGTGTGGAGGCGGCGAACTGTGAACCTTTTCCTCACTCGGACCGGGCGGCGCGGTCCGTCCCGCCGGTCCTGGCGTTCGGACCGGGCGGCGCGGTCCGTCGCGCCAGTCCCTGGCGTTCGGACCGGGCGGCGCGGTCCGTCGCGCCAGTCCCTGGCGTTCGGACCGGGCAGCGCGGTCCGTCGCGCCGGTCCCTGGGGTTCGGACCGAACAGCGCGGTCCGTCCCGCCGGCCCTGGCGTTCGGACCGAACAGTGCGGTCCGTCGCGCCGGTCCCTGGCGCTCGGACCGAACAGCGCGGTCCGTCCCGCCGGCCTGCCTGTTGCGCCTGTCGCGCCTGACTTCCATCGCCGCTCAGTCTGCGGGCAATGCCATTCTTCTTTACGAGCAGTGCCGATTGTGTTCCACTTTTTTTGGAATTCCAAACATTTCCTAAGTCCGTGTTGGAGAAAAGACAGTCGGGATAAAAAATCGTCGGACTTTTATAGCATATCGGATATGATGCCGGACAACTGATATGATTATGTTGTGTAATTTAATTTGATTCTGGACCACAAACAGCTTGTTGATGGAGCACCAGAGAAAATACTACTCTTTGCAACACGAGGCAGAAAGCTGAAAATATACATGGCTTCGATAGAAAAGACAATGTTAATGTCCTCGGGAGAGCTTGTGATGCTCATTATTTACTTAGTTACGATTCGCCTCCACTTAACATCCGAATAAGCTGCCGTCGTCGAGCTTAGCGATATTTTAACTTTGCGGACATCGACGTGCATGGTGGATTGTGGATGCTTTCACGATAGCCTGTGATGCACATCACTTATCTACGATCATTTTCTCGACTCCCATTGGATTCGAGCGAGCGAATGAAGCGACGCGAGCCGCGACTGGTATTTATTGGTTGTTGGTAGTAGCGATTTGATATCAAACTTGGAAACTGTTTGAGCAACCTAATTTTCTGGACACTTTGGGACAGACAGCTGGTCCATCCATGAGCTCCGGATCGGACTTTTGACAAGATAATCCAGAAAACAGCATCTCTGCTCTTTACTTGGCAGCTTGAGCTGGAATGGCTCAGCTATGAGCGCAGTGTGTGGCGTCGTATGTGCGCAGTTGTGATCCGCATTTTCCAACACGGCTTTGATGCGGATCCTGGACGGTACGGACATGAACGACGGCGTGACGCATCCGCTGTCGTTTTCTGGCTTTCTGCTAGCGCCGCGCTGGAAGGTGAAAATATTCCACGTCTCGTAGAAGTTCCGTCTGGTTTAATTCCAGGCAATCGGTTGATTTGACGGAGACCCTTACGCTGTGCTGTCCTGACCGCTTGCGGACTGCATCGTTGCCCATGGGCGATAGTAAGGGCTCCTGCACCAGCTCTGCTCCTGGGCTCCTGTGCCTGGCTCCTGGACTCCTGCGCCTGGCTCCTGGGCTCCTGCGCCTGAAGCTTGGCGGCCGATGCACACTCCTGACGACGTTCACAAGGACGTGTATCGGGACATATACCCGGATGTTCACAAGCACATCTCATAAGTGCTGCTGGACCTAGGTTCTGATCTCAGATATCTACACAATCAAAAGGTTTAACTTGGATACACATATGTATATATATTTATATACATATATCTGTATTATGTATATATATATATATATATATGTATATATATATATATATATATATATATATATATATATATATATATATATATATATATATACAGTTATCTTGTCGTTAATGCACTCATGCTGATTCAGATTCCTACATCACATGTAATATCCATGCACAATGGGATCCGCTGTCGGCTGAGGGGGCTGAAAGCTGCCGCTGATGAGATTAATTGGCCTCCCGGAGCGCAAGGAATGTATCAGCTTGCGGCAACGCGCCGGGTATGTCGCACTCAGTCACAGGCCGCTTACTCATCCATCGGCGTGAATACCTCCGGCATGCGACGTTTGCACCTCCTCCCATCCCCCCTCACCCCCACCCCCATTTTTCCTTCGGCGGGGTGAATCGTCGGGACTTCAGAGCGGGCCTGGTTTTCCTCCAGCTGTGTGCAGGATCCGCCACTGACTCCTGGCCTGCCGATGGGCCGTGACCCGGGTGGTCACCCCCGGCCGAGCGACACGTGCGCCCCTGGGAGGCGTCGTCAGGGGCGCACTCAGAGGGGGTGGGGCGGCGAGGGGGCTAAACCCGACCGGTCGCCGAGCCGTGACATCACAGGCGATGACGTATTCAGGGTAAACCGACCGCGCCATGCGGCGACACATCACCGACAGCGACACAAATACAGGGAAGCTTTGGCGCGCGAGAACAATCGGTCAGAGCTCGTCACGGACGACCCAGAGCAGCCGTCGTACTCGCCGCTGTCGGCTGTGCGCGGCGGCGGGGTGGTAGAGCCCGGCGGGCTATCTCGGGCCGCCCAGGGGGGTTGGCCGGGGGAGAGCCGCGCAGGGGGCGCGGACCCGGCGCCGCCTCAGTCGCAGCCGATCGGCGCCGACACGTGCCACCGCCGCCCGGGTCGTCGACGTCGACGCCGACGACGGTCACCGGCCCACGATGAACCCGAGGTACGGACCCGGCCCGCCGTCGTCGGCTGGTCGGAGGAGGGGGAGGGGCGGGAGGCAGCTGTGTGGCACGTGGGCGCGGAAGCGGCTGGCGGTATCAGCAGTAATCCAAGTCACCCGAAAGCTTGCGATTCCCTGTTTTTATCCAGAGGCAAACAGCAGGCATTCAGCAAGTATTCGCGGCCGTGGAGCCGGCCGGGAATTTGCTGGAATCGTAGCGTTGGATGGCAGTCGTCAGTGATAGAAATGCTCCTTTGATTAAGCATGGAAGTCATCCGTTACTGCGTTGGCTCCAGAAAAAGTCTTGGCGGCAGTTAATACGTATGCGGGTAAAATGATTGGAATCAGTCAGCTCTGATCACCGTGAAGGAGGATCGGCACGGGTTGGGCGTAAGTAAACTGTTCGCGTGCGTGTCCAGATGAGATGAGAGCAATTCGGACCTGATAGCTAGGATTTTCCGCCTGATACGAATCGTTTTGCAAAATCCCTTTCTTGGTCTCGCTGCTAACTGCTACCAAAACTAACAGTATATGCTGAAAAACTTTTGATTTCACCAAACCTCGGATTTAGTACTTATTTGCTACATTTTTGACCAAGTTGCTTCACTCATGCCAGGGATAACATCTTTGATTCACTGTATTCATAAGTTTAAAATTCAAACGGCTGGGTCTATCGGACACGTGGCGACGGAGGTGTCGGCGTGGAACAGATCCTGCTGACCGTCAGTGGCAACACAACCTGGACATAGGTGTCAGTGCCGAACAAGCCCTGCTGACCGTCAGCGACAACACAACCTGGACGCAGGTGTCAGTGCCGAACAAGCCCTGCTGACCGTCAGCGACAACACAACCTGGACACAGGTATCGGCGCCAAACAAACCCTGCTGACTGCCATTTGTAACACACCCTCAACACAGGTGTCCGCGCCGAACAAACCCTGCTGACCGTCAGCGGCAACCTAACTCGGACACACGAGGGCTGTGAAATCAGCGAGAAGTTTGAACTGGCTTCCTAACCGTCCGCAAACTGATATGGTCGTGGTCATGCCGGAAGAAGCGTAGTGTTGTCTGCGGCTTTAATATGCTGTACATGCATTAATTCACACCCAGTCGCCCATCGGCTGCTTTGAGTGACCAGGTGCACGTGTTATCGTCATGTGTCATGTCACATCACGGACATGCAGTTGTTAATTACCCTGACCACCCTTAAGGATGTCCTTTTGTGACGCTCGCGAAGGTGAACTCTCCCCTTAATGCTGTGCTCGATAACTAAATATATTTTCATTGCTTTCGTTCTTGGTGGGCCATTTAACTGATTGACAGCAGAGTTAAGCAGTCACGTATAATGCGTATAACACAATTATCGACAGCATATCGACATCCCGTCCGTGACGTAAAAAAGTGGCCTACTGAATGCGTTTCCAAAATTAATGTTCAGGTCCAATGTAAATTACACGATGCGGCCACCGTCCCGGCCAGTGCGATTCCTAAAGCCCCCTCCCCCCCCCCCCCCCGACCAGTCCCATTTGCCCCGCCGATTACCACCTCCCACGCGGGGAATCTGCAAAAGAAGCCCAGCACCGAAACCCGGCCCTGAGTCGCTCCACCTGCCAGGTCTGGATTACCTGTAACCACTCATTACCAACGGGTAATGTGCTACATTGTCGCTGCAAGCCCTCCGCCATCACGCGCCGCCGTGCCGAACCCCGACGAGGCTCTGGCTGGTTTTGATGCGGTTCTGTCGCTACCCCTCCGCGCCGTAACGCGAACTAGGCCCGCTCGGCCACTTCCGTAAACCCGACGCGTGGCGGCTGGCGGGCGGCGGCGCTGGGCCGGGGCCAACGCCAGATGCGTGTGCCGCCGGCGCCGGCTGACCGAACGGGTGGGGCTGGCGGCTGTCGTCGGCTGACGGGCCGCGCCGCACGCTGCCGCCCCCCCCCCCCGGCCACGTGCCGGGCGGGTTCACCGCCCCTCCCCACCCCCACCCGGGCTCCACGCGCGTGGGACGCACGCATATACGGCGGCGGCAACCGGCCGCCGGCTCAGACTGGTGCGCGGAGGCGGAGCGGGGGGAGGCGGGTGGGAGACGGAGCGGGTTTTCTACTTTTCTAGCCGCTTGTAGGAGTAGGATTTAGTCATGTAGTGCGTTTTGCTCGCTTAGAGTAGTGTAGGTTTGGTTGGGACCAAGTGTATTCGTGCATTCCTCGTGCCAAGCGCGTGTGGACGAGTGGCTGAGGTGGATATGGACGAGTGCTAGGTGACGGATGTGGACGAGTGCGAAGTGGCTCATGTGGACTCGCGTGTGGTGGCGTGGGAGTGGTGGATGGCGACCTGCCCGGCGCCATCCTCTGTAACTGCAGTGCCTTCTGAAGTCTGAGCTCGGGTTCAGAGGCCTTCCACGTGCTGACGAGGACCATGCGAATACGGCGTAAGTACGCGCTTCCCGTTGCTCACTTTCGAAAGTGGACTTCCCATGCTCCTCGGGAAGCTCTCCGGCAGAGGAGCGAGCGGCGCCGCGGCCGGCCCGCTGACCAGCTGTCCTCCCAGCCCTCGCCAGCCACCTCTCCGGACTGCGTCGTCAGTCGCCGCGCGCTGTGCCGGCGCCTCAGCGTCTGTCTTGTTAAGCGGTCCCCCCCCCCCCCCCGCCCGCGCTAGCAGCCCCAGCTGCCACAGGTGGTGAGCAGACGCGCCCGGCCCCGGTGACTGATACACGGCATGAGTGTGCACGGGCGGCGGCGTGTCGGTCCCGTGCCGCGGATGTGCTAAATGGGAGGGCGGGCGGCATTGCAGACCTGAGAGGTGATGTATGGGCGAGACGCCCTCTGGTAATCTCAGGTGATTGTCACATTTCCAGAGGATGCCGAGGTTTATTGGTGAAATTAAGTTCGCGTTTCTGTCCCAATGTTAAGTTCTTCTGGTCGCTGACTCCAGGGTTTTGTTCGGTCCGGGGAACCCCACTCATTGAACAAGTTGTTTGAGCCTTGTTGGCGAGCGAGTTGAGTTGATGGCGAGCCATATGACATCAAACCAATGCATTTTACCAACCATCGAAGTATCTTACCGATCATTTTCAAAGTGGCATCGAAGTAGCGAGTTGATTGCGTATGCTGCAATGAACATATTGGTTTTGGTTGCGCACTATCAATACCTTCAAGAAAGAAATGTGTCAGTAATGCCCGCTAGGAGCTGTACGCCCTACCGTTGGTATCCGGCTTCGTGCCGCCGCCATCGTCACATGCAGCATACAGACCTTCAATTATCTTGCGTGACGCTCGGTCTTGTCTTTGCAAAACGGTTCTTTCCGACAATCTCAAGAAAGTGCCATATCGCATATCACTAGCTTACCCTTACGGGCAAAACTAATGAGCATATCATGTCCGCGGTGACCGGTCTGGAAAACCGCCACGATCGCAAACCCTTGTAAAGAGCTTATCTGGACGAGCAGGACATCGATGCCCTGATAAGTTCCGAGGTCATGGATCACGCGCAGAGAATGCGGTAACGCGTCTGGGGGTGGGCGGCAGCATGGCTTTCCGAGACATTCCAAACTGACAGACATTCCGGGTCGCGCGCGCTGACGCCGCACCTGATTTCCGGTCCGATGAGACGTCCTCTCGCGGAGCGCGACATCGGCATGACCGGCACTCCTGTTTGCAGTCGCCACACGCTGATAGCGTAATCGCCGCGCGCATGATCTAGGGTGCGGCATAGCTCTATGACACGCGCTTCCGGCGACGGGGCGACCCGATTCCCCTGGCGGTGGCGGTGGCGATGGCGGCGGTGGCGGTGGCGGTGGCGGTGGCGGTGGCGGTGGCGGTGGCGTGGCGGTGGCGGTGGCGGGTGGCGATGGCGGCGGTGGCGATGGCGGCGGTGGCGATGGCGATGGCGATGGCGGTGGCGGTGGCGATGGCGGCGGTGGCGATGGCGGCGGTGGCGATGGCGGTGGGCGGTGGCGGTGGCGGTGGCGGTGGTGTTGGCGTGGGCGGTGACGGTGGCGGTGACGGTTGCTGGTTGGTGTTCCACTGGCGGCCGATGGTCCTTATTTATGGCTGCTGCCTACCGTTGGTCTTCACTTATGGCGACCGGCAGCCAGTGGTCCTCACTTATGGCTGCCGGTGACCGGTGATCTTCACTGATGGCTGCCGGCGCCTGGTGGTCTTCACTTATGACTGTCGGCGACCTATATATAGTCTTCACTTACGTCTACCGACGGCCAGTGGGCTTCATTTACGGCTGCTGGCGACCAATGGTCTTCATTTATGGCTGCCGGTTCAACCCACGGCGCCATAACGCCGTTTGACTAGGCGGAGACTGCAATGCACCGATTAGTGGCGGGCAGTGGCAGCAGAACTTCGCTATGTTTGGCAAAGCCAAGTCAATTCTAAGTCGGTTGGTGTCCTGCGGTGCTACTGGAAAAACTTTAAATTTTCCCAAAGTTCAGGAGGCAGTAGTACCTCTGCCCCTCACCCCCCCCCCCCTTAAACCGCCCCCGCTGGCCGGTATCAGCAGATTTCTAAGGCAACCTCGCTAGCCCTGGACTCATCAACCCGTTTTGGGGAGAAAATGCCAGCAATGCGGTCCCCGCTGCACTGCCCAACGTGCATGACTCCGGCAATCGTGGAAGCCGAGGGATGACGGAGCCAGCCTGCGGTTACTGTCCTGGCCACGGGAACGTTCTCTCTAACCGCTGTCGTTTGTCCTGTTCCAGGTGAGTCCAATGGTGGCGGTGCGCTGCGGACGTCGGCTGGCGTCACCACCGCGGCACCGTCGGGCCAGGGGTGAGTCCAGACGGCAGCAGCGCCGCCGCCGTCTGCGCCGCCGTCCGACCTCACGATACTGCACTATCGATCCCGTTCAAGTTGAAACAGTCGCAGCTCGTGCGCTGGAGCGCCCTGCCGTGGAAGGAGGCTTCCACACACCCTGCCATACCCCGGCGCGAGTTAGGTTGCGGTCCCACGTCGGCCCTCGTTCTCCCTCACGCGCAGTTCGCGGCGGCTCCGGCGGCCGTGCCGGGACCGAGCGACCTCCGTCGACTGACCCCCGGGTCACGGGCCGTCACGCCGCCGCTGTGCTGGGGGTGGTGAGGGTGTGAGGGGGAGGGAGGGAGGGGGAGCGGTCGATGGGCGGGTGGGCTCGGCGCGGCGCGGTGCGTGCCGACCCGCCGGCCGCCGTCAGTCGATCAGCGGAGGCGGGCCGGGCCGCGGCGGCGCCCAGCCCGCACCCGCCTACCAATGTGTGGCTGGTGTCTGCCGGACTCGGCCGGGTAGGTGTGGGGTCGGGAGGGTCCGGAGGGTCTGGAGCTGGTGTCTGCCGGACTCGGCCGGGTAGGTGCGGGGTCGGGAGGGTCCGGAGGGTCCGGAGCTGGTGTCTGCCGGACTCGGCCAGGTAGGTGCGGGGTCGGGAGGGTCCGGAGGGTCCGGAGCTGGTGTCTGCCGGACTCGGCCGGGTAGGTGCGGGGTCCAGGGGGTCCGGAGGGTCCGGAGCTGGTGTCTGCCGGACTCGGCCAGGTAGGTGCGGGGTCGGGAGGGTCCGGAGCTGGTGTTTGCCGGACTCTGCCGGGTAGGTGCGGGGTCCGGAGGGTCCGGAGCTGGTGTTTGCCGGACTCTGCCGGGTAGGTGCGGGGTCCGGAGGGTCCGGAGCTGGTGTTTGCCGGACTCGGCCGGGTAGGTGCAGGGTCCGGAGGGTCCGGAGCTGGTGTTTGCCGGACTCGGCCGGGTAGGTGCAGGGTCCGGAGGGTCCGGAGCTGGTGTTTGCCGGACTCGGCCGGGTAGGTGCAGGGTCCGGAGGGTCCGGAGCTGGTGTTTGCCGGACTCGGCCGGGTAGGTGCAGGGTCCGGAGGGTCCGGAGCTGGTGTTTGCCGGACTCGGCCGGGTGGATGCGGGGTCCGGAGGGTCCGGAGGGTCCGGAGCTGGTGTCTGCCGGACTCGGCCGTGTAGACGCGGAGCTCGGAGCTGGGGGAGACGACGGATGCTCGATCGGTGCAGGGTTCGGGCTGCTGAGCGACGAGGAGAAGGCAAGGCTCTGGTGCGGGACAAACTGATGCAAACTGGTGGGTGGCGAGGGCTGCCGGACGGGTGCACGATCCGGAGGTGGTAGCCGATGTTTCGGGTGGTGTCATACGATGCGTGAGGCGGTCGTGCCATTGTTGGTCTTGTCGAGACCCGGCGTGACAGTGAAGTTCCATCCGGAACAGACCGCGAGGAGGGTTCTGATGGTCCTGATGCTGGTTCAACGTCTGGGACGCCTGTTTCCAGTTTACTCTGATATCATCAGATGTACATCCGGTCTGGTATGCTCTGCAGCATTGTTAAACTTAACTGATGCAACTTTACCGAGTACACCGCCTGGGCATCGGGTGTAGCCCCCAAAGTGGTACGTAATTTATATTGGGCCTCGTACTATCAATGATGTTCCGTTTCCAAAGCAACGCTCAGCAACGGGCGGTACTGAAAAATAGGCCTTTTGGTATGCTGAATTTGTTATTTTATCTCCAGGTGAAAATGTCCTTGTGATGTGTTAATTCCCCATATCCCTACCCCTTGCAGATGAAATTGATGTTTTCCAACTGTCTCATGCAACATCTCGTTTGACTGCAGCGCAGTCCCGTGCAGTTAAGTTTTTCAGAACGTCTCAGCAGTTTTCAAAGAAATCGAAGCGCCTCCTGTTGCGTCACGGTGCTTTGCGGCGTAAAAATGTAACACCACTGACGTGTACAGCATAATCCAAAAAAGGATTCCAGATTACAGTGAATCAGAAGAAAACTGTGGCTGAATGCTGGATCGTGCGATGATATCTCCGACTTTATGCAATGAGTCTGTATCCTGGAAGATTCCCAGCAAACTCCGACAAGGTCATAAATTTCAAAGATCGGCAAATGCATGCAAAATAGTGAATCACAGCACTCCTTTAACGGATTTTAAAGTGGGTACAATGCGATAGGGGAAAATGGGATGCCGGAGGATCCAAACGCTGCTTTGCTTGAAGATAATTTTTGCCCGTAGAGGATCCTGTGCATTTTGCGCAGTGAGTACAATCTGATCTCGTTAAGTTGCCATGTAGGAAGGAAATTTAAACGGGATGCACAGCTCTAAGTAGCCACGAAGAAGATGCCTGTTAGGCTTTGATGATGGGGCAAAATTCCGACAGAATAGTTGCGAACCGAATTTGGGCAGCCTCTAGTAACTTTCAGATTTGCAGCTTTGGTATGCGACAGCTCAACATAACTCCAGGTCGATGAAAGTTATCGTACAATGACTATCTCAAAATGGATTCCAAAATTTTTGGAATCCTCTTAAAAAAGGTCGTGGCTCGTTCATGGTCAATATAGTGTTAATGGGTTCTGAAAATGTATACTGTATGTGCCAAAATCATCACAGCCAAATCCCAACAGATCCTGCAGAATTTACTATGGATCCTGGATTCCGTCAGATATGGCATCCCGGATTAAAGATCATTATGTATCACAGTATCGATTACTGAAACACAGGCACATGTGTGCTCTTTACGTCGTTTCTTTGTATTGGTATTGGCCTTTGGTAGCGTTAACTGGTTTGCCGACGTTTCGGTGGCGCTCTACGGAGGAACAAGCTTAACTTTGGGATCAGGCAGTCTCTAACTATCGGCTTGTCATTTATGTAAATTAGCTGACGGTATATTACGCCCGGTAATAAGTAGTGTAAAACCGTTCTACACAGGATACGAACGCTAGGGTTGATGTGCTGCTGCGTGCTGTGCGTAAAACCATGGCTTAGAGGTCTCATCGCTGAACGATTTCAAGTAAGTTCGGTGCGTCACAGAAGCTCCTTTTTTGATGTGCAGTTGTGTAATCGATATTGTTCTGATGACTGCTGGTTCGGCTGTCTCTTCATTTTCGTATTCCGTTTCGCTCGCGGTTTTGATGTGTCGTGAATGCAGTCCGCTCCTCTCCATTGGAGACTCGTCTAATGGGAGCGTGCGTGTGCTCCGCCTCCATTGGAGACTCGTCTGATGGGAGCCTGCCTGTGCTCCGCCTCCATTGGGGACTCGTCTAATGGGAGCCTGCCTGTGGTCCGCCTCCATTGGAGGCTCGTTGATGGGAGCCTGCCTGTGCTCCGCCTCCATTGGAGACTCGTCTAATGGGAGCCTGCCTGTGCTCCGCCTCCATTGGAGACTCGTCTGATGGGAGCGTGTCTGTGCTCCGCCTCCATCGGAGCCTCGCCTGATAGGAGCGCGTCTGTGCTCCGTCTCCATTAGAGACTCATGTAATGGGAGCGTGTCTGTAATCCGCCTCCATTGGAAACTCGTCTGGCGGGAACCGTGTCCGCACTCCGTCTTCATTGGAGACTCGTTGATGGGAGCGTGCCTGTGCTCCGTCTCCGCTGGAGACTCATCTGATGGGAGCGTGCCTGTGCTCCTCTTCCATTGACCGGACGGTCGTCGGCGCTGCTCCCGCGCTGCTGCTACTTGTTGCCAGCAATAGACAGAACGCAACCCGCTAGAACATTGTTTTCAGCGCTGGCTGCCACCGCCCAGCCCATCGGCGTCGCAGTGTCCCGCATATTGTCACGACGGAGCCGGTGAAGCGGAAGGCCGACAGCCAACTTCTAAGACTTTACGTCCGGGCGGCGGCACGTAGTGAACGCATCGCTCCCTGCGCCAGCTCTGTGCAGGGCTCCGCCGGACCGCGCCCGGCGCGGTGCATGGAGGCGAGCAGAACAGGCCGGCCCGGCCGGTTCGACGGACGCGATGCGCCACGGCGCCGAGGGCCGGTCAGTTTTTACGGCGGTCGGCGATTATCCCGGCTCGGGGCGGCGGGCCGCCTTTGTCCGCCGCCGCCGCGCCTGTGTTCGGCGCTTTCCAGGTTTTGCACAGCGCCGGCCGAAAAAGCGCTCGTTCGTCTTTGTCGATTTGACCCAGTTGTGTTTTGCCGACGTTCAGATCGATCGCCGCGGGCGCGGCGTTCGTGCCGCGCCCCGGACTACCGATGGCACCTCGTCAGCGCCGCGCCGCCGCTCGCCGCCGACACCCCAGCGCGCGCCCACCTCCCGCGGCCGCATCGCGGCAGAATGCGGCGACAGGCCGGCTGCCGCGTGGTCCGGCCGACCGCCGCCGTGCGGCGCTGCCGGCGCCGCTTCCGGGCGTCACCAGCTGACTTCCGGCAGCCGGCGGCGTCGTGGTGGCTGGCCGGGCGGCACGTCTCGGCGCTGACCTGGCCCCGTGCCGTCACTCTCGGCTGCCCGCTTCCCCGCTCCCTGGGCAGCCTGTTGACTATTTACGGCGGCGTGCGGGCGGCGGCGACGCTGCATTCCGCGCGTGGCTCCCCGCGTCGGCGCCAGCAGCGCCACGCGGCGGACGCGCCGCGAACTAAAGGGTCACGCTCCGAAGTGCGGTCCAAGCCACCCAGCTGGGACACGGACACAGTGTGGTCGGTGTTCGAGACTACTGCTTAAGAGACTATGCACGCTCAAGTGATGGCACGCCGGTGTTGCGTTCACTTGGCACGATGGTCGCGGCCGGTGTTGAGCACCGCCGTGCGCAGGCATGCATGTACGACGCACATGTACGGCATGTACCGTGCGCATGTACGGCATGTACGGTGCCCTTGTGGAACGTTTGCGTCCACCGAGGAGCGTAAAACAATTAGTCGCCCGTGCTGACTTTCCTTGTCGTGCAAATTCCTAACTGTCGGGTCGCTGAGTCGCGGAAGGCCAATGTCCTGTTGAATTTCCTTGCGGGTACAGAGGCTGTTCCTCATAGGCTCATTACTTACAAAGGTTTTCATTTTATGGGCGCTAAGCAA